GCACTGAGACAATGACCGGCATTCTGCACACACTGGCAGGTCCTGTTTGCCCTGGCACGTTCACTTTCATGCCTATTGAACATGGGCCTCTTGTATTTCTTCAAATAGATCAGAAGTCGTATCAAAAACACTATCACCATTATCCTGTCTATACTTCACACACAAGTACTAGAATTTGTACATCTCACTCCCAGTTACAACAGAGAAAAACAGCTTATTTATCTTTCAATCAGCAATCTATGTGTGTTAAACATTTAAGTGCTTATATCATCTGCCATGCAGGAAGGTCTGGAGGCCTAGTGCTACGGAGCTGTGCTTCCAAACTCAAGGCAAGTGATTCAGATCCACCAGTTGATCCATGGGAGAAAGACAGGTAAGCTCCTCTTCGGCAACTTTCAGCCTCTGAAAACCTGCTGCAGGGTCAGTTCTAGCACATAACAGCAATAGCATATATGAGGTATCACCTCTATATAAGCATAGATTTCATCAGGGAAACTTAAAGACTGTAAAGTGATCTAGGATATGCAGTTATGTGTATTTTCTGGTTTTCAACCAGGTCCCTTAGTACTGATAAAGATGATAATGTAGAGTCATTATTTAGTATTACTACTATTAAACAGGTAAAACTCAAATGTCTTTTTCCTCTTTGTTTGAACAAAATATAATTTTATCTATATGCAATTTGTTCTGCAAATGTATGGAGATAGGACACATCCCTGGCACACACCCTTCCCAATTATGAACCATGCAGTGTTTCCTTGCTCTGTTCTGACGACTGCCTCTTGGTCCAAGTATAGGTTTCTCATTAGCACGATCAAGTGTTCTGGGATTCCCATTCTTCGCAGAGTCAGCCACAGTTTGTTGTGATCCACACAGTCAAACACCTTTGCATAGTAAATGAAACACTGTCAGACAGACATTCCTCTGGCATTCCCTATTTTCAGCCAAGATCTATCTAACATTAGCTATAATATTTCTAGTACCACGACCCCTTCTAAACCCAGTCTGGACTTCTGGCAGTTCTCTATTGCTGTGCTAGAGGCAGGGTCCTATGAGGAGAAATGTGGTATCAGGATTGAAGGAAGACTCATCAACAATCTGCATTATGCAGGTGACACAACCAGGCTTGCTGAAACTGAGTAGGACCTGAAGCACTTGCTGCACCAGGTCAAGGACTGCAGCCTTCAATATGGATTGAAGCTCAATATCAATAAAACAAAGATTCTCACACTGTGTCAATTGACAGCATCATGAGAGATGAAGAGATTACAATTATTAACCGCTTTAGTTTGCTTGGCTCCACAATCAACACTCTTGGCACCAGCAGCCAGGAAATGAAGACATATTCCATTGGAACGTTTGCCATCAGAGACCTCTCCAATGTACTGAAGAGCAACAATGTAAGTCTGGAGTCTATGGTCTTTGCAGTCACTTGCTATGTATCAGAGAGCTGGACAATGACTAGGAATGATAGAAAGAGAATTGATGCCTTTGAGCTGTGGTGTTGGAGAAGAGTATTGTATATACCATGGACAGCTAAGAGAATGAACAGGTTTGTCCTGGAAAGGGTCAAACGAGGCTGCTCCTTGGAGGCAAGGATTCTGAAGCTCTGTCTTACATACTCTGGACATGTTGCAAGGAGGGACCAGTCTTTGGACAGGGATGTCATGCTTGGGAGGGTGGAGGGACAGTTCAGAAGAGGAAGACCCTCAATGAGATGGATTGATTCAGTGACTGGGGTTATGGGGGTAGGTGTATCAGAGACAATAAAATTGGTACAGGATAGAGCAGGGTTTAGGGCTGTTGTTCCTAGGATTAATATGAGTTGCAGATGACCTGACAGCACATAACAAGAACAATATACAATTTTCCTCAAAAAAATGCCAAACCAGAATTTGAAACTATAGAAAAAACTCTCAGCCAAAAATAGCAACATTTCAGAAGGCTTTTTAAAATCCTAATTTTACTACAAGAAATGTGTTGAAATGAAGATAAATCTAATAACAGTTAACAAAAAACATTATAAGCTTTCTTTAGAATATCTAGTTATCTAGCTTTCCAATTCTTAATTTCATAGCATGATGGGCAATCTCCTCCTATGTGATTAACTGCCTCTGAAAACCCGCTGAAGGGTCAGCTATGGGTCTGTTCCAACTCTATGGTACACAACAACAACAACTAGATGAAACAGAAAATTAGTGTACCCTACAACATAATCTTGCCCGAAATCTTTATACCCTACTTGCCTAATTCTGATCAAGTCTCTAGATCTAACTTTTAATTAAAAAAAAAAAATAGGTCACAGAGAATGCAATCAAAGGTGCAGCATCAATATCCAGGAAGTGAGAAAGTGCTGATGTTTGGGGGGTCTGCAATCAATGTCATAAAACCAAAACACATATAAACTGTCTACCAGAAAACCAACTTACTCTATAATCTTTCATCCAAATGACAATAAAAAGATTTTTAAAATCCACTTTATAATAAATGCTACAAATCAGCTAGTTTCTTCACCAAATCACAAACTCAGTCTGCAGTTCCCATTTCACCTCCCTAAAATCTACCATACTTTCCCACTCTATGCTGCTTACGTGATGGCACTTAAAGGTTTGGCTGTAACTGCATGTCTCTCATTACAGTATTAGTATAGTGTGCTGCAATCCCGAAGGCACACAGTTTGAATCCACCAGCTGCTCTCTGGGAAGGAGGATGGGCTATCTCCTCTCATGGGACTAACTGCCTCTGAAAACCTGCTGGAGGATCAGCCATGTCAGTTCCTACTCGACAGCACACTACAATAGCATTGTATATCTTAGTAGTAAGTACCTCAGAACAGGACTTTGAATTCAGCCTGAGTTTGAATACCACCGTGGTCCCCTCAGTTATTGAAACACAAAGTTACACATACTATGCAAAGGGGTTTTAAGGACTTGGTGAGAAAGCATCTGTAAACCATCTAGCATAATCTTTGGTATATGTTATTCATTATGTAATGAGTGAGTAAACTTAAATCATATGTAGCAACCATAAACAGCTGTGAATTTGCGAACCTTTACTTCATCTAGAGCGCTCTGGTAGAGAGCTGAACTGCCAACCCAAAGGCAAATGTGTCAAATCCATCAGTTGCTTTGAAGAGAAAGAGGGACAATGGCCTCCCACACGATTTACAGCCTCTGAAAATCCTCTGGAGTGTCAGTTATATGCCAGTTTTGACAACAAAACAAAACATAACAACAGGAAGCTCTGGTGGTCTAATCCATAGAGGGTTGTGCTTCCAACCTAAAGGAAGCCAATCAAATGTGTCACAGCCTCCAAAAACCCACTGTAGGGTCAGCTACGGGACAGCTTTAATTTGACAGCAATTAATTTTGCCTTTTTTGTTTTGGGTTCGGTTTTCTTTTTTTTTTTTTACTTTATCTAAGGAACCCTGGTGGTGCAGTGATCAAGTGCTCACCTAAAGTTGTGTGGTTTGGACCCACCAGCTGCACAACTGGAGAAAGATGTGGCAATGTGCTCATATAAAGATCTGCAGCCTTGCGAACCCTACAGATAAGTTCTACTCTGTAGTACAGGGTCACTCTGAGTGGAAATCAACTCAATGCAAATGCTTGTGGCAGGTTCACTGCATCTAACTACTCTCTAGCCCTGCTGGCTGAAACTGAGGTGGACCTGAAGTGCTTGCTGCAGAAGGTCAAGGACTGCAGTTTTAAATATGGATTGAAGCTCAACATTAAAAAAACAAAGATTCTCACCACTGGGCCAATTGGCAGCAACATGATAGATGATGAAGAGATTAAGACTGTTAACAGCTTTAGTTTGTTTGGTTCCACAATCAACATTCTAGGTACTAGCAGCCCAGAAATCAAAAGACAAATTTCACTGGTTAAGTCTGCTGTCAGAGACCTCTCCAGAGTACTGAAGAGCAAAGATGTCAGTCTGTAGACCAAGGTGTACCTGATCCAAGCTATGGCCTTCACAATTATGTGCTATGCCACAGAAAGCTGGACAATGACTAGGAATGACAGAAAGAGAATTGATGCCTTTGAGCTGTGATACTGGAGAAAAGATGCATATATCATGGACTGCCAGGAGAACAAACAGGTTCATCCTAGAGAGGGTGAGACCAGGCTGCTCCTTGGAGGCAAGGATTCTGAAGCTTCGTCTGAAATACTTTGGATTTGTTGCAAGGAGGGACCAGTTCTTGGAGAGGGACGTCATGCTTGGGAGGGTGGAGGGACAACACAAGAGAGGAAGACTCTGGATGAGATGGATTGATTCAGTGACTGGGGTAATGCGGGTAGGTGTGTCAGAGACGGTAAGCTTGGCTCAGCATAGAGCAGGGTTCAGAGTGGTTGCACACAGGGTTACTCCCACATGATTCAAAGACACATAACAAACAACAGCATCACCTAATGAATTATGGAACAAAGGACTAGTGTTGTTTCTAGTTGCCACTGTGTAGATTCTGACACATGGTTACTAGTAGAAAAGGAGAGGAAAAGCAATCAATTTTATACGTAACTAAGTTTGGCTGTAAGACACTAAGAAGCAACTGAATCACAACAAACATGACCTTTTAAAAAAATGGAGTTAGTACTTTACTAAGAGCCAAAAAATGTTATCAAACATAGTGAAAGTAATCAAATTCATGTTGAATTAAAAGCAATCTACATATACATCTTTAAAAATAATTATTAATAATATGGAAGACACGTCCTAAAAGAAAATGTTAAATGTCAACATATTTATTTTGAATCTCTTCAGTTTTCTTCCTTTAAAACACAGAATAAACTGACCGACTTTCCATCTAAACAGTAGGTGGCACAACTGACATGCTCGGGGCCAGGTGCTGTTGGGGCCAGGTGCTGTCAAGTCATGACACCTGGCAAAAATTTTAAAGGGTTCAGCATGTCAGCACCTAAAATTCTAAAAACTGTTTAATACAATACAAATGTCCCAATCTGAAAACAAAGTCTTTGCAGCAATGTGAAGATACTTACATCGCAACTTGTCCAGCATCTTCCCACCACACATGGTCGCTAACATCGCTTTCACAGAGAAAACCGTCAGCTTGCCTCGGCCCTCGCTGTAAGAGAAATGACACAAGTGATAACTGTTACCTGGAACTATAGAAACAAACTGGGTGTGTGGGAAGCTGAATATCAAATTTAATATTAATATTAAACCAAATGCTGTATCAGGATTTAAGGGAGGTGTAATACAAGCTGGAGTTCACCCTGAGACCCTAAGGCATTCCTTAAGAGTCAACACTGTTCTTATTTTGTATTTACTGAATGTTCCCTCCTGAGATTAGCATAAGGTAAACAATAGAAAGGAACTCCATCTTATCTGCAAAATACTTCTCCGGGATCCTTTGTTTTTTTCTACTCCCTTGTGATTATCCTTTGATATTCCTGATGACTCTCAATAAATACATAGAGGGGCATGGCTTGGGTGCTTCAGTCATCAGGACTGCTGGCCCCCTGTCTTTACCGTCTCTTATCTCATCCTTGGCTGTCTGTCTCATTATTACTTTACCCTCAGTCTGCAACAGGGGTGCATCACTAATCAACATTCTAATGGTTTCTGTCTTTACACATTATAAGCTTATCACATTCAGAAACTCTGGATTTTTTTTTTCTTCCCTTTGTAGAGTTCTGGTTTCATCTAGGCTAGACGAAAATGGCAACAGAGCTAACCGGAAGTATCTGGAAATAAGTTTTAGGAACATCCTGTGAAGAAATTTCAATGAGCCCTGATGGCAGAGTAGGTTCTCAAGCTGCAACGATTATGGGTTGAATTCACTAGACCTTCCTCAGGAGAAAGATGAAGCTGTCTGCTCCAGAAAAGGATTACAGCCTCAGACATCTTTCAAGGGTTCCCAGACTGGAAAGTAACAGCAATTTGATATACTGGCAAAAGCTAAATATACCTTACATACATTTCTAATCATTTTAACCTTTGAAAGGGCGCTCTTGTGGTCTAGAGGTAAGAAGCTGAGATGAAATCCCAAAGATACATGGTTAAAATCCACCAGCTACTCCAAGGGGAAAGGAAAGACAATCTTCTCCAGTGCAATTTACTACCTCTGAAAATCTGCTGGAGGGTTAGCTATGGGTGGGCTCCAAAACAATAGCATACAACAACGGTTAACCTTTTTAATCCACACCTGAGCTATTTTAACCATACAAAATTGAGTCGTCACCTGGTTAAAGCATTAATTCAGAAATATGACTTATTATCAAGATAGTATAACAAAAGTTTATCCTTATGTTCTAAAGTAACATGATAAATATAAAGACTTCTAGAACATTCATGGTTGTTAGTTTTAATTCTAATAAAGTTCATGTTTTCATGTACGTAGTTCTTACAAACAGCTCAAACACATCTGTCTCAGATCTTCTCATACCATTACGAGAAAACTGAGGGGAAATAGATGACATTAACTGCCACTCAGATGACTATGATCCACAGCTAAGATCAAAGCCTTGTTCTACCCTGCGCATCCTCAAAAATTTCTGCCAAGTTCAAAAGTGAAGGGAAATAGATGGCAATCTTAATTCTTTTTAGGACCTAGAAAGGTGAAAGCTGGAAAAAAATAATTACTCAAAGAAACACTACGTATCACTTGTATGAACTAAGACAGTATCACCAGTGTCCCTTATCACTACATGTCTTGCTCCATCTATTCCATTATGGCCTGATATCAGAGTAGATAATAAATTTTATTAGCATGTTAATGTTATACAGATGTGCTCAGAGAGCTTTATAGTAACTTAGAATAGAACTCCTATGTAATAATTAAAACACTATGTCTTGGTTTTGAAGTGAATTACCCCACAATTCTATCCTTTCTCCGTATTTATTCAATATACATACTGAACAAAAAACTCGAAGGGCTGGACCATACAAAGAAGAACGTGGCATCAGGATAAGAGGAAGAGTTTTCCACAACCTATGTTATCCAGATGCCATAATCTTGCTTGGAGAATGCTGATGATTTAAAGGACTTAATGAAGTAAATAAAAAACATTCAAGAGGGAAAAAAGTCCTCACAACTAAACTAACCACAAGCAAAGTCATGACAGATGGAGAAGAGACTGAAGTCCCCAAGGATCTCATTTTACTTGGAGGCACAATCAACACCCCTGGTAGCAGCAGTCAAATCAAAAGACATGTTGCACCGGGAAAAGGCTTCCTCTTTAAAGTGTTAAGGAGAAAATAAATAACATGTTAAAGAGTACGAATGTGCATTTAAAGACCAAGCCGCTCCTGACCCACACCACGGTATTTTCTATTGTTTCACATGTATGGGAATGCTGGACAATGATAAAGGAAAACTGAAGAGGCGTGTATGCCTTTGAATTGTGTGGTTGGCTAAGAGTACTGAATAGATCATGGACTGCCAAGAGAACACATATGTCTTGGAGGAGTGCACCCGGGGTGCTCCTTGGAGACAAGGATAGTGTAACTTCGTCTTATACATGTTGGACATGTTGTCAGGAGGGGCAGGTCCCCAGAAAAGGACATTATGCTTGGGAAAGTGGAGGATCAGCAAGAGAGGAAGACCCTCAACAAGCTGGATTGACATGGTGACTCCAACAACGGGTGTGAAGCTGGCAGAGATTGTGAGGAAGGCTGAGGGGAGGACAAGGTTTCTACCTGCTGTTTACTGTCGGTCAGTCAACACGATGACATCATCACTGGGCAAGGCTAATTATTAAGGAAAAAATGAGGGAGTGGAAAACTACAGGTTAAAAGACAGGGTAACAGCAGACTCAAACATCGCTATTACTGTGAGGAGGGCACGGGACAGGGCACTGCTTCCTTTTGTTGAACGGTGGGTTGATATGTGTTGGAATCAACTTGATGGCATTTGACAACAGAAATAGGCATGTCAAAGTATAAAATTTTACACAGCAAGAGTTTCCACAATGGTGTTTAAAATTAATAATAACATGAAACGTATCAGGGCCCAAGCTCCATTCTTAAAGAATTTCTGGTTATTTGGCCAAAGTTGTGACTCTGGCATTGATAATTCCTTAAAAAATTCCCAGGTGACTCAAGTGAATAGGCAGAAATGAAAATTACTGGCCCAAAAGAAAATGACTTTGTTAAAAAGAAAAATGGCCAGAGTACACTCAAGCATGAAGGGGCCTGGGTGGTACAAGGGACTCAGGATGGACTGCTAAACTAAGAGCTGTATTTTTAATCCACTGAGAGGTTCTATGTAAGAAAAACCTGGTGATTAGCTCCTATGAAGATTACAACCAACAAAATCCTGTGAGAAAACTCTGTTCTTTAACACAGGAGGTCACTGGGGGCCAATCAACATGACAGCAACAAGGTTGGCTTGCATACAAAATACTCACCCATGCATACAAAATACACAAAGACAAGAAATACAAATAACTTTCAAGAGTAAGGAAAGACACAGGGTTTCATTACTAAGAAAAGAAATGGCAATTAAAGCAGTAAGAAAATATACCATTATCTCATTATTGCCATGGTCCTGATTCTTTCTCCAGTCAGTCTACAGAGTGTGCCATCTGAGTAAACTTCATAATCTTGTTTTCTTTTATATGCCATTTAATGTTTACCATCACTCCTAAATAATATTTACTTGTTTGAGATCACCACAGTAAAGAAGAGTTTCTCACATCAGAACCGTCATCCCTTGTTTTATTATATGCTGAGCTCAAGATGATCATCAACTACATATCTGGTTAATTCTGTTTGGTGTTTTTCTACTTTTCACTGTAGTATAATACACATGCAGGGAGCTCTGGAAGCCTACTGGCATGAACTGTGTTGCGACCCCAAAGGCACGTGGTTCTAATCCACCAGCTGCTCCTCAGGATGAACAACCTCCTCCCAAGTGATTAACTGCTTCTGAAAACCCATCAGGGCTGGGTTAATTCTGACTCAACAGTACTCAACAACACAGAAATGTATAATTCATAAATGTACAGCTGGATGAAGGAAGCTCTGATGGCCTAGTGGCAAGAAGCTGTGCTGCAATCCTGAAGGTAAATGGTTCGAATCCACCAGATGCTCTCCTGGAAGAGGGACAATCTTCTCTTGTACCAGCCAGATTGAATTTGATGGTACACAACAAGTGATGCTATCTAACGCAGACAGCCGGAAACGTACAGCTGGAAGAACTCTTCCAAAGTGAGCACGTGCATGGAGACAATCTCAGATCAAGAAAAGAACAAGACTAGCACCTAAAGTCAAGCCTCACACAGACGTCCTACAAGTAACTCCTGCAGTGTTAACCTCTGCTCTAATTTCTAAGCTCACAGGGGAGATCGGCCTGTGCTTGAATGTAATACTACACTACGCACTCTTCCAAGTTTGGCTCTTTGCACTCAACAACTGTGGGCTCTATCAAATTACTAAATACCAGTAGTCCCCAACTGATGTGTATTTAAATTAGAAGTCCCAGTTGTTGTTGCTGTTACTAGATGCCATTTATCCAACTATGACTTATAGCCCCTTATAAACATCCTTCCTCCCTAACTACTCACTCTATGTGCTGGGCAAATTATACTCAAGGTGGTGGACTACATAAAGAAGAATGTTGTTGTTGTTGTTGTTGTTGTTGTTGTTGTTGTTGTTGTTGTTATGAGCCATCAAGTCATCTGTGACTCACAGAGACCTTATGTACAACAGCCCTAAGCCCTGCCATATTCTGTGCCAATCTCACTGACTCCGACATACTTACCACTATTACCCTAGTGACCGAATCAATCCATCTCATTGAGGGTCTTCCTCTCCTGTGCTGTCCCTCCACCCTCCCAAACATGATATCCCTCTCCAAGGACTGGTTCCTCCTTGCAACAAGTCCAAAGTCTGTCAGATGGAGCTTCAGAATCCTTGCCTCCAAGGAGCAGCCTGATTTAACCCTCTCCTGGATGAATCTGTTTGTTCTCTTAGCAGTCTGTGGTATATTCAATACTTTTCTCGAGCACCACAGCTCATCACTAGTCATCCCTAGAATGCAGTATCTGAAGTAGAGGAAAACGCATCAACAATCTGCATTAAGCAGATGACGCAACTTTGCTTGCAGAGAGTGAAGCACTT